CAGATATTACAGTATATTCTTCCACCTCCTCAATTTGTAGGTATCGAACGGATATAGTTTCATCCACTCAGTATTTTTATCGCTCAATTTATTATTTAAGTTTGATACTCTGATTTTTAGTTGCTATTTAAGATAAAACTGTTGATGATGAGCTACCATTTGCAGCTCAATCCAATTTTTTTTAAAATTTTTAATTATTCATAATTATCGGCAAATCAGTAGATTTTGAACATAATACTCAACGGTTATGTATCAAAGTATGTTTTAATAGTCACCCATATATTATGTTAATAAATAATTCTCCAATAAAATAGATTGTTAAAAAAAGTCGGACTCATGCATGAAGGTGCCGTACCATTCATTATCCATTAAAACGCAAATAAATCACGTACGTTATTTTCAAAGTAGTTGGTCGACTGATACTCGTAAATTTGTAAAGCAAATTGTAACGGTGCGTCGTACCACCGTTTATTTCGTGTTAGGTTTCCGCATGCAAACTTTATTTGTTTTATCTTCAACATCATTTATTTACCATACCATACCAACATAATTTATTCAACATACGATTTTTATATTTCTTCCTTTTTGTTTGTTACAGATTTTTGTTTAGCCTTTATGAAATCAAGTTCTCAAGCTCAGTCAGCCTTTTATTCATTTTCCTAAGCATCGAACCTGCTACACAACTTATTCATTATATATAAATATTACTGCCGTAACCTTTGAGTCTCTTATAACAATTGTTTAATTGATAGAGGGAGGAACATTTGACTGTAACGAAAATTGGCACTTTGAAGCTTAATAAGTCACGAATGGTTAACTAAATCGAAAGACGCTCTACCCACACCCCTTATATTTTAGAAAGACCTATCTAACTATACCCCACGCTATAGGAAGATAAAAAATACATGTAAAGAAAATATTTTTTTCAATGTTTTTTTTACCACTTTGTCGGCGTGATACTCATGTATACTAATGCTAAATTGCACCTTTCGCTTTTAAGCTGAACCGCAGATCGACGGACGTAACGAAACTATAAGGGTTCCTTTAAATTGAAAAGTAAAAGTCGAAAAACAATAAAGACAACAAAAACTACTTATAAAAAATAAATATACCATTTTAAAAATACAGTATTGTCACCTAGCGATAACAGCTAATTGTAATATTTTATTTTTTTGCCCGATTAACAATTAAATTATGTTCTTGGTAAAACTGCAAAATTTAAAACGAAAGCTTTGTTTGATAAAAATCGGACAATTTAAGACAAAAAAAAATAACCAAAATCTCGTTTAAAATTACAGTTGCATCAGCTAAATGTAACATTTTATTTGTTCGTTCTATTAATAACTCCCCATTAAATTATGTTATATGAAAACACGCAAAATAAAACGAAAATTACTTTGTTTAATAAAAATCGTAAAAAAATAAACAAAATTCAAAATCCTGTTTTAAAAGTACAGCAGCGTCAGCTAAATGTAACATTTTCATGCACTTAGCCAACACTTTGAATCATTCGAATCATTATTTAATCCTGCGTAAACAGCTTAACCTCCAATCCGCATTGGGCTAGCGTAGAGGGTCATGGCCCATCCTCCTTAACCATCCATAAGGAAGGCCTGAGCCCCTGCAGTGGGGATGTAAAAAGGCTGATGATGATGATGATGAAACAGCTTAAATCATGTCATGGATTTGGAAAAGGATGACATTGTAAATTGATTATTACAATGAAAAATATAAAACAGTGGTTGCTATGGTAACGATTTGATGCCCCAAACGAACTTTTTCTCTCATTTTCATGTCCTTATGTGCTTTTTTTCGGGATAAAATATAAGATAGATGTGATGCCGCAGATTATTTTAATACTTTTAAATTCAGTAATACATATTTTTTACATAACTTTTACCATTTACGCAGCGCACGCTTTCAAGAAATAAAATATTCTCCGATTTTTCAAACATTTCACATTGCTGCTCCACTCCTATTAGTCAATAGTGATAGCCTTCCACGATAAATGGACTATTCAACACAAAAAAAAATCAATTTGTTCCATTAATTTAAGAGATTATAGAGTCCAATCAAACAAACTCTTTAGCTTTATAATTTGTACTATAGTTTTTCTTGAAATTTCAGGAGTTTTAGACCCTTTTCCGTATCGAGTATTTCGCTTCTTTTTATTCTTATTGATTTTTTTATTATTTTCAGTACTTTTTTATGAAAATAATCAATTTTTATACGATTAGTTTGAAAAAATACATATTAACACGGCAACTCTTTTATCATATATTTGAACGAGATCAATATATTTGAACGAGATCAAACGATATCAAATTGAATTTATGAGATATCGCCCGCTGGATCTCCTTGAGCTTTCATATGACCACGTTTCACTACAATAGTCACCAATAGCAACACACACGTCGAAGACTTTGATCTCGTAATGTGACTTTAAACATAGCGAAAACTGAATTTTTAAATAGTTTTTGTCGCCCTATATGAAGTGTATCATTTAAAACACTATTGTGTTATTCCGAGACTAGCTAATACTGTATAGTTTCAGTTTTCACTTGCCACCGAATTAATAAACAAAGTTGTGGTGATATCAAACTCATGACTAATTCAATATTACAAAAGTTTATCACTGTCTAAAAGTTTTAGATAGAGTTGAAACAACTGCTGCATGTTGACATCCGTTTTAACATAAGTTGAACTATTACATTATTCAGTTGCAATTCGAAATAGAATATTTAGATATAAGCGTGTGTGTGTGTCATATTGAAACTAAAATTAATTAAAAAATAATCATTTCCGTTGTTTACAACGTAACGACATTTACGTAATATCAACATCCTTATTTTTCATCATCTCAATTTCAAAAGTCTCAATTTTCGTTTCTTGTCTGAGATAAAATTCAATTTATTCCGTACGCACAAATAATACATTAGCACAGTTATCCAATCGGGTGTGTTGTTCGCGAACATATAGATTTACAAACATTTAATCACATTCCGAATGTAATTTTCACATAATCTACTAGGATTTTGTGGCTTCATTACAGAGTTCAATCTGATCTGATGTTAATCCGATTATAATTCTACCGAAGACCCGCAACAACTTAAGTATTTGCAATGTACATGTACTAAAACAGTTTCACTCCGCGATCATTATCATCTTCGTCACAAGTCTATGTGTGGCTGGGGAGCCCCAGCCACACATTAATGATCTTAAATCATATGCAAACCGGTATGTTTATGCTACAGATAAATCTTACTGTTTTGAGTCCCCGGTGCCTGATAATTGGTGTTTCCTAATAATGTATTGAATTTAAAAAAAGAGCAAATAACAGATATAATATTAGATTTTTTGCTCTGAAACTTCTGCAACGATTTGGAAAATTCTTTTACCCAAATAATCCCTAATTAATATAGAGCAATAGAATATTTTTTATTTATTTAATACCCGTGATTATAAACATTTTATTTAATAAAATCAATTATTCGTAATCGTTTTCTTTCCTAAAATCAATAAAACATTTTTATAGCTATAGCTACAGTTATAACAAAAGAGTGGCGATCGCTTTGCTGAGAAATCATTCGTGTCGAAATACGCTAAGAGTGGATTTTTCCAGAAAATTACTGACGACGGCCAGTCTCAAAGGACTATAAAGTTCCGAAAAGTTTTATCGATGAGACGTGTAGTAAAAGTAAAAGTCTGTGTACTTTTTTGTCGTTCACGATTATTAAAGGCAAAAGCATTTATGCCTTTACAGCCATATTTAGATTCTTTTTAGCCACTAATACTTCTTAAAGCAATGAAAACAATTTACAAATACCTTGTTTATTTAATTGCCATTTGTTGATGTTAAGATTATTTCTCTTCTATACTCCATTCATTATAACATTAGAAAAAAGAGGGTCATAGAAGCAGTAGTGCAGAACATTTTATTTTCAAGATAATTTAAAATATATATATTAATTTTGTTGAAACTTTGAACGTTAGGTAGTCTGAAAGAGCTGGGGAATTTTCCATTTTTTACGATACCTCGGGGTTGAAATGAGGCCGGCATTTTATAAATTCATTTTTTACTCCCAAGCCAACATGGAACTTAAACTGAAACTATCTGTCTGTTGTTTTGATAAATTCTAACTGTAAGTGTAATTATTTAGACTATTGATGAAGACATTGGAAAAACTCCCTGAAATGTCAAAGGTTGAGAGTAGGTATGGGGGCTTAGAGCGTAATTTTTGTAGGCCAATCGGGCCTGCACAGGCATCGTCCATATTTAACAAAACTTAACAACAAAACAAATAAAAAACAATAACAACTGAATCACGGAAAACGGCAAAACAACAAGAAAGGCAGTAGCATTCACAATGGATGACAATCCCAGATTACGTATTTTGACAATTATGAATACATCATAGTCTGACAAAATTAAAAAGCTGTACTGCCGAAACTAATAAATAATCATAATGCATTTATAATGCCACGAACACTGTGTGGAATCATGTTATTACGCAAAAATATATTAATTTTTGAGGTTATAATTTGTTTGGAAAACCACCTAGAGATGCATTATGAAAGTCAGTTTTTCATTGTGACGTATAAAAGTCTCTAAGTCAATAGAAAAATAAATCATTCTAATAGTTAAATAATAATACCTATTGATAAGCTTAAAATTAAAAAACATATAGTTTTGTAAACAATCCAAAGATGGCGCCTTAAGTACGTAAATGTCGTTTCAAAGCGATGTCCTTTCAACAACTGGTGCTTCGCCATCAATATCAATACTAATTATAGTTAGTGTCTATCAATACTTACAATGATTATAAAAGTAATAGATACTAATCAAAGTATATTTGTAGAACATTTTAACACAACCGCAGATAAGTTTAGTCTCTCATATTAACATTTGCAAATTGTAATATTCTTATGTAGTTTCTACAATGAAATTGTTTGTTTTAACTCTTGTTGTATTTTTTCTTGATATCTATCGTCGAAGCACGATGGATATCAAAAAAAAAGGAAAGTTAACATTTGTCAACTTTCCATCGTGCTTCGACGATAGATATAAAAAAAAAAGGAAAGTTAACATTTGTCACAACTACATATGCAATCGTTAACACCCATCAATGCGCATTAGACCCTCGTGGTGGCCCCGTCCTCCCTCCTTATGTAAAACTATAAATATGGAAGACCAGTAGAACTATTTTGTAATAAAAACAATTTCGACATTGAGCACAGGGCTATCACAATAGACTTGAAATAAAATTTAAATGAAATAAAATTAATTCGATCAAAAAAGTTACCCTTTGTCAACTTTAGCAGTATATTTTATTTAACCTCCACGCTGTGACAGCGCTGTATATTGCTGTCTGCACGCTGAGATCTTTCAAACGGCTTCTAATTTGTTTTTCAACAACACATACTGATTTAAGTGGAAGATTCAAATGTATAATACTGAAATACGCGCGCGAAGACTCTGGTGCAAAGCTAGTGAAAAATAAATTTCTGTTTTAGCTGCTGTAGTGGTGGCGTTCTTCGTGTGCTGGGCGCCGTTCCACTTCCAGCGTCTGTTCTTCGTCTACGGCTACGGTATGGATCAGTTCTACGTCATCAATGAGCACCTGTTCAACGTGGCAGGAGCTCTATACTATGTGTCGGCTACCGTGAATCCTATACTCTACAACGTCATGAGTGGAAGGTGAGACCTAATGCGTATGCGTTAATTTGTATTCAAGAACGAGGGGCTAAAGGGTTCCAAGATTCAATGCTATCTGAAACTCTCAGGCTCCATTGATCATAGATTCACTATTAATAACTCGTGTACTTATTTTAACCTTGTTGAGGCGTATATCTACAACAACTATTTTGCGTAATGAAAGACATGAGTTTAATAGTTCGTATGTCTTCATGTGTGTTATTCAAAAAGCTACGTATATTACATAATCAGTTAAGTTTTCCAGAACCCTGTACATACATTATCTGTTTTTGGTAGTAAAATTTATTACTTTAATGTTCCGAAGGTTTTGGAATCATTTGTATTCAGCCAAGCTGTCATAGTTCAATTTTGTTCGAATAAAAAACACAGTACTATGATATATACGATATTATCAGTAGGTCGTTTATTTGAAACATACAACAATTATTTCCCTGTTAGCTTTTCCGCAACAGGATCGATTTACTAATTGCTCAATCAATCACCGTTCGCCGATGGGCACCTTTTCTCGAATTACGGTATAAACCCATTAATCGGTACACTTCCTTATCTACCACGGCTTTACCACTGCAAAAAAAAAGAAAACAAATAAAGGTTTTTAAACAACGCTAAGACTAACTAACCAGTTTAAATAGAAAGTTTATAAATAGGTTTATTACTGTTAGACAGAGAGAAAAGATCGCGATACATTGTCGATCTTTCTATACTGACAATAAACAATAGCACAGCTTTATAGAAACGGATTAATCTTTCTTCTATGACTTTCTGCATGCAGTCAGGTACACTCCAACACATTTCTCCTTTTTAGTACAAGCTTTTATTTAGTTTCACCTGTCCCGATAGTTCGAATAAGCGTTGATATGCGAGTAAAGAGAGAGAGAGATGCCGCGATGATTACATAACGTCTTGTTTCCTCGGTGCATGGTGAGATACACTACAACGCTTTTCACCTTTTTATAACAATTATTTTTTTAGTTTCACCTGTCTCGACGTTTGTTTTGTGTAATTTAATTGTGTAAATCTTGCAAACTTATTTTACTCACTTCCCAGTTTCCATTTGAACTGAAATTTTAAATGTAGGTTTACTTCTGATGACAATGCAGTTATTTAATCGATATTATTAATACAAAATGATGACACAACAAAGAGCTTTACTTGTAAAATACATACGCCAAATAAAAGCTTGTTTTAAAAATCTATTTAAACCTACTCTACTCTATTTTTAACATTCCTATGTTATTTGGTTTCTTTGTAGTTTAGAATCAAAAGTTTTCACAACCGATCTGTCTTTCATGAGGCAGTAAAGGACTAAACTTTAAAATCTTGACAAGTTTCATACCGATTAGATGTTGAATAAAAACAAACAATAAAAATGTAAGTATTTATTTTTCTCCCTTACAAATAGATTTTGTTAGTTTAAATTATTTATTTATATTTAGAAACTGTAATTCTTCTGCTATTAATTTGTTTTATTTTACAGTCTTCTTCCAAGAAATGGATAAAATATACCTTGAAAAAATGATTGAATGTAAAGTGAATAATCATGATTTCATCTCGTGTCTGATTTTCCTGTCTTCTTGCACTTTGGAATAATAATAGATTATATATTATTTACATGTTTCTAAGAAGACAAATAAGAATAGCAGTATCTTGGACAGATAAAGGTCTTTCTTAGGTAACGATTAAAGTTAAATGAAATCTCGAGTGCTGCTATAACAGATTCAAGCTCCATAAATTATAAATTATAGGCTTAGATCGAAATAGTATCTAGTGCAGCACACGCTTATTATTTAAAACCATTAATATTACAAGCGTTCTAATGGAATTAGATTAATCTGTTGTAAACACCCAAAGCAACATAGGTAAACTACATAGTTTATGAGTGACTAATTGCAATTAACGGGATTGTAAATGGCTTAAAATTATAGTAAATGGTACCGATTTTATTATACCACTTTTTATAGTAAACCAGACAATAATAATAATACTAAAGCTATACAGAATTACAATGTTTTTTAGTTATTTTATTGTGGGTTAATTTATTAGACGTAATTATGTAATTAAATAAATACACATATATATCTATACTCCTGTGTAAACATTTGTATAAATATATTTATCAGAGACCTCGCCAGCCCATTGCCCAGGGCGGGTTTAGTTGATTATGGAAAATGAGCTAAGTATGAATTGTAGCTAAAGTCAAGTGCACACAAAGCTTCTAATCTTAAATCTACGTTAATTGTTATAAGAAAAGTATGTACAGAGTCTAACCTGTACAGTTACACGAGCTTGACTGTAGATTAGAAACTCTTGTCAATAAGTTATTGAATTTATGAGAAAAACAGAATAAAAATAATTTGGAGGTTTGAATGTACACCACTCCCCTTCTCCCGCTTTACCAATAGCATAGTGCAGGGCATAGTTCATTTGGGCTTCAATATACAAGAATAATCGATTAAGCAAATGAACTCACAGACTAAGGACTTCGGTTGCTTTACATTAGGCATCCTGCCCCAACTGGCGTCGCCCTTGATAGGTACAACTGTTATCTTTAAAAATATTAGTCAGTCAGCGCTACGCGCACAGTCGGTTCGGACGTGTACCACAATTATCTTGTAAACCAGTGTTTCTCAGACTAAAAGAAAATATATATATATATATACAAATATATTATTATAATTTCTTAATTAATTAAAATGAAGTGTGCTTCCTGTGGTGACAATTTTAATGACGGAGTATTCTGTTATGGCTGCAACAGACATCTGGATTTTGGATGCGCTAACATTGCAGAAATAGGATATCGAAGACTTGGCCGTGACCGTCAAGCTACATGGAGATGTCCTCAATGTAAAGCAACTGGCTCCAAGAGCACTCCAACTACGCCTGTTCGTGTCTCCGTAATTATACCTGATCAGTGATGTTTCTTTGGATATGAGCACTCCTGTCTTAAACCCTAGAGATATCCCCTCAGGTCCAGTAACGCTTGAGCTGCTATTTCATGAGTTACAAGACATGAAAAAACATCTTGCTAAAATACCGAGTCTTGTACTTGCTGTGGAGTCAATAAAAAATGATGAAATGAGCGCTAACTTGAAATAAACAAGGCTCACTGAATTGAGCATAAGTCTTCAGAAATTGAAAAAATTAGTGAGCATCTTCAGACAACCAATCGTGACATTGTAGAACTTAGGCGTGAGAGCACTTCAAGGGAGCAGTGGGCGAGTCTAAACAACATTGAAATCAAAGGCGTCCCTATAAAAAGAGATAAAAATTGATTTCATATATAAGATAAGCTGTCAAAAGTCACTAACTATGCAATTCCCAAGACCCAAGTTAATTAAATTGCGAGAGTTCCTACACATGACGCTAAGAATAAACATATAGTTGTAAGCTTTATAAACCGCTATATAAAGGAAGAGTTAGTGGCTGCAGCGCGCCTGAAAAAAGTTATTACGGCGGCTGAACTTGGCTATGGGGACCCTTCAGTAAAAATATTTATCAACGACCATTTAACTGCCGAAAACAAAAAACTGTTGACATCTGTAAAAAAATCTTTTTATATGTATGGGTTAAATATTCCAAAATTCATGTTAGAAAAAATGATACTTCTCCCGTTATGATCATTACCAAAGAATCGGATTTAAACCGGATTGTTTAATTTATTGCTTAAAAAATGGTACTCCATATTATTTTAGTTTTTATATAATTTGCATGTTAAAGAGTATGATCACAAGTTTGACAACCACAGTCTTGCTTACTTGCCACAATCGGTTCTATTGTTCCCTATTGTGTTGGTCATTGGAGTTGAATAGAACGCTTTACCTGCTCACGCGCGCTAATTATTGCATTTGTCTATCTGCTTACACTTGTGCATTACTGGTTTGTTATCTGCCTAACTACGCTGAGTATCGTTTGTTAACAGGTTATCGCTTTAAAACATCATTTGCTCGTTTAGTAATAAATTGTATTTACGCTTTAAGTTATACCTGCAGATTCATTGATTTTTTTCCTGAAACATTGGCGAATTGTTCATTCAATATGTTATTTATTTTGCATCTTAGTTACTTTCTTATTTAATATTCAGTACCTTAGATGATTTAAGTATTTTTTATCAAAACGCTCGGGGCCTTCGCTCAAAAACGAATTTATTCTACCGCAATGTATGTTCGAACTCATTTGACATTATAGTAATCACTGAAACATGGTTAGTGGAAGGTATTTCGGACTCTGAATTATTTGACAGCCGGTATTTGGTTTTCCGACGGGATCGTGATTACGCTGCTACTGGATTAATTAGAGGGGGCGGTGTATTGGTTGCAGTTCGTCGTGAACTGCACGTAATACCGAAATTAAATTATTGTTCGACTGCGGTAGACCTGTGGATATCAATTAGTTCGGTTGACTGTCGAGTGAGGGGTTCCTGCGATATTCATTTATGTGTTTTGTATTTATGTAAAGAAAGCCAAGGTTTATCTTTTTCACAGCAACTCATCAATTTCTTAAGCTCATTGAACAATGTTATTATGTCCAATCCGCAGAGTAGTTTTATAATAGTAGGCGACTTTAATATGAGCAATATAGTTTGGACGGCTAGTGCGACTGGTGATCTGTCACTTGATCCGAATAACTACAATTCAATTAATGAAGCATTGATAGATGAAATTAATATATTGAATTTACGTCAATATAATGGGAGTATGAATGGGTTTGGTAGAATTCTTGATTTAGTATTATCAAATATTAAAATCGAAGTAAGAGATTGTAGTAGTAATGCGTTGGTACCTATTGATAACCATCACGGAGCACTTGAGCTCGGCATTCGTAATTCGCATTTTGAAACATTGAATTTTGCGCCGAAAACTAAATTCTTATTTGATCGTGGTGACTATATGTCAATTAAAAATGAAATTGATGCCATTGAGTTGGGTGAGTTCACATCTTTGAACTTGGAAAAATCAATTGATTTTTTTTATAAAACTATAAAG